TAAATTATATCAAATGTCTATGAGTTGTGTGGCTATCTTGGCAGCAGGGGGGGGATTTTGTAGTCTTGTGAGATGAACAGAATAGTTTGTGTGTGGCAAGTAAAAGGAGAGATAACAAGAGATGGAGATGCAAATAATCAGAAAATTAGAAAACCCAAGGGATTGGATACTTTCCTTCAATTTTTTACTTATTACTGGAGGATACTGAGATGTATCTGAGTGGCTTAGGACAAATGTAAAAATACATGAAGAAGAAACACTGCTCTATCTTCTTGTGTCATGTGTTTTAGAGATGTCACATTTACATTGATAAGAAGTACCAGCATGCATAGCCCAAAAACTGCCCGTATGTATTTGGTGATTTTCTACAAACCAGGAATTGAGGTTAATTTTAACTGTTCCCATCAGAAGTAACAACTGACAATCACAATTGGATTTTGAGCTATGAATATAGAAATAGATAGAAGGTTTGACCCAACGGTGTGGAAAAGAACAAAATCATTCTCTGAAAGTGGGCCCACCTTTGTTTTGAGGATTTTAACCCCTTACAGCATTAACAATGAAACATCAGAGATCTGTCACCACCATCAGAACAGTAAGATTGCCTAGTGCTGCTTCAAGCAGTGGCCAGAATCCAACAGTATTGCTGCCTTCTGTTGTGTTCCTGGCTATGCAACCAAGTGCTTAACCTGGATATATCTGAGTGTATGGCAACCAGCCAGAATGGTTGCACACACAACTTTGGGCTTACACTGTGCAAACCCACTGGGATTCTGGCCACTAATTTTAAATTAGTGACAGCAGAAAAGACAAAGACCAAATACAAGATGGTCTGACTCCCTAAAAAACACCACAGGCTTGATTTCACAAGAGATGAGCAGCGCAATTGAGGACAGGACATTTTGTAGATCACTCAGTCAATCATCAAGTATAAAACAGTAGAAGTCCTTGCAAGCTGTAAAGGAGCCTAGGGTTATGATAAAATAGTATCTCGGAGTACCTAATGTCTTGACTCTTAACTATGGCCATCTAGGCCCTGGAAGGAAGGAACGAAAGAACTTGAAGAAAAGATGGCTGAAGATGGTGCGATTGAAATAAAGAGAAATGATTTCTGTTTAAGAATGCTAATCTATAATCAGCATATCTGACTTTTTAACATTGTTAAAGTTGACACTATTCTAAAAAAAGCCAACTGAATTATTTTGGGCAAGTGTAATTTTTGATGTAAATGCATTCATGTTTCTCATTGAAACCACTGACCCTAACAAGACTTTCAGTGTTTATAAAGTTAAAAAGGAAGACATAACCAATATTTGTGGATCAGGATGAATATAAAATAGAGGGCAATATATCATATGGGCACTTGGCATGGCATATCTCTTTTTGTCTTTAAAAATAATAGATTTCAAGTAGTTAAACCGATCAGCTCTGGAATCTCTCTAGTTAATTTCATGAACTGATTGATTTGTGTTAGAAAAAATGCAGGGGTTTTGTGGGGGCTTTGAAGCACCAGTTCAGCTGATAAACAAACCATCACGAACCACCAAACTGGTGTTTCTGCCCATTTGTAGTCTGAGCTCTTTTTTGATCTTTGTCTTGATGCACACATGCATGTTCATCCCTTGATCAGTCAACTTTGTGATCTCTATATGCTGAATGAGCAAAGCATTTTCTCAAAGGAGTATTGGGTTTGCATTGGCATAGACTGAAGTGAAAATCCTGTCTATGACAGCCAAGCCATTACTCAACATTACAGTCAACAAGGGGAAAGTTCTGTATGAACTGGATCTCATAGATCAAGACCTCATAAAGGTGATCCCACTCTATTGTCTGGAAATCCTTACATATAACAGTTTGTTCCTACAGGTATAATTTAAGTAGTCCATCATCTAGTGGTGCCTTGGGATTGTTCAGTATTTAGGTTAACTTGCTAAGGGGTGGGGGAAGATCCCCAGAAAACCCTGTCTTTCATACTATGATCATTGTTTTGAAGTAGATTAGTAATGGATACCACTTTCTGGTCCATACTCTTGACAGCGAAACTGCAGCTGAGAGCCATTTCTGTGTTCCAGGTTCAGTGCTGAAAGAATGAGGATTAGATTTTTCCATGTTTAGCTTTGTCTTCAATTTCTACAAGATTATGTTCTTGTTACAGTCAAACATCAGCTGAATTGCTTTCTTTTTCTTTGGTTATTAGCCCCTTAGGTATAGCTTTGTAATCAAAGAGAGGTCAACTGTATCAAAATAGTAGAATGCCAGAATGTATTTGGCACTGATTCTTCCCCAAAGATTTTGTTATGAAGTGTTACTTCGGGGGGGGACGGGACTTCTCGAAATATTGTTCAGAAAGTAAGTAAGAAAGAAGTTACTTTACAAAGTTCAAATAATAAATTTACTCTGGTCTGAATGCAGAGAGCAGTCCAAACCTAGGAGGCATCCGCTGGTCAGTTGGTAAAGAAAACAACAAGCACTCTTCTCCTTCAGGCAGAGTGTGGAGAATAATACCTGCTGATACAATGAATGAACTAGATGGGAAATACATTCTAACCCACAAAAAGGCCCTTATTTAATTCTTCTTCATCTTGAGAGATTGGATGGGAAAGCTTGCAATGCAATCATGTTATGCATGCAGGGGGTTTGGGGTGTTGCATTAAAAACAAATGCGGTTAGTAAGCATTTCAGCTTGGAAGACGTAATGTGGTTTTATGAAGTCAAAGAAATCTCACACCTCTCAGCTAACTGTGTGCACTCGATTCAGTTATTCCTTTGCTGTACTAGGCTTTTTCTGTGAATACATGCAACAGATTCACAAACGCTGGACTCTATAGGCAGCCGTCTTTGTCTACAAGGGAGCAGCAGCAATAGCCAGTTTAAGAGATTAACAAGTCTCAACAGTAAGAGTACGACTCTAAAAATGTTAGCCTAATTCATACCCCTTTTAAAAAGCAGTACTGTAAAGATTAAGTCCCTACACTCTGTAGGT